AGTGGATCAAAGATCATGTCTTACTGCACGGATATGAGATGTAGTAGTTTGTTAAGAGGCTTTTTCAGCATGGAACAGATTTTATGCCTTGTTCCTCTTTGTCAGAGAGGTTGGTTTGTGTCTGGCTTTTGTTGCCACAATTATCCAGGTCGTTTCACTTCATATAGTCTGGTGCATGTAGCATATGGGGGTATCTACAAATCACACACACACGTCCTTGTGCATAAGTGTTGGACCTGCAGACCAGGTAATCACCATGTCAGCGGGTCCGGCCATCATTACCCCTTTTTGTATAGTTTACACTACCCACAATGACCGACGTTTAAATCAGAGCCTGTTTCCAGGAAGTATTGACATAATTGTACGTTGGCTGTAACACTACAAAACCACAAGAAATTGTATTATATCTCCAAATGTGGAATACTAAATCTATTAAACGGTCAAGGTTTCCATATAAAAACGATTTCACATTTCTTTTTAAGAAACAGTGTTTCCTCATTACCACAACAAGGGTTGAGAAATCCCCATCACCGGTAAAACCCGTCTCTTGCATCATCGCTTGTTGGCCGTGCCGTTCAACACTTTGTGCACATTCCACAAGCCGCCGCTTGGCCGCGGCGGCCGTCAAGCAGCCGCTCTGCTGGCTCATCACTGAATTCACACCGTGACCCCGAGATCCCTCAGCAGCTGAGCTCAGCTCTGCTCGGCACCGAGCGGATCCATCACCTCTCCTGGCTGCAAGAAAACACGCAAGCTGAACACGTCATCCCTGGGTGTAGCTAGCGGACTGGTCGCTGTTTGTTGTTCTACTTTGGACCACTTTCAGAGAGCGTTCGTTCGTGTGACCTACGGATCGATGGGGGATTGTGAAAATATTTCAGGAATTTACATTGATTTGGATGGTAAAGTCATGAGGGCGTGTGAAAACTGCAGGAGCAAGGAAACTCGTATATTTGGGGGTTGGGATTGCTTCATAGACTGGGAAACACTGGGATTTAAACAGTTAAATGACTGTTTAAATCCTTGCATGAACGAAACAAATCCAACATCCTGCAATGCAAAGGAGCCCTGGTTGCACGTTTAAACTGCTGCAACGCTCATGAAGGCAAATACCCGGTTGGACCTGCTTATTAAGTTGGCCCCGGAGAAACTTCACGCCTGTGCTGCTCCTCAAAAGGAAGTACAAGTGTATTTATTTTTTGATGAGGAGGACGGAACACAATGGACGAGTCCACGTTACACGCTTCCTCCACACCTGCGGCCGGAGTCACAGCAGGAACTGTGACCACATCCCTCCTCGTTCACAGCAGCTGTGAAGGGCCAGTCAGACCTCACTCACCACCGGAAGCAATCACATTAGAACCCATAAATATAGAACCAGCATCCTCGCGGGGGAGGAAATGATGCCGTTAAAACACGGACCCGACGTCACTTGCGGCAGTTTCAGCCGCGTGAATAACGCAAGAAGCGGATGACCGGTCACATGGTTAGCCACTATCACACAGAAGTTAGCTAACTTATGCGCTGTAATTCCTGGGAAAAGTTGGTGAAGAAAGTATCCCGGTTGCTTTTAATCCTCCAGGCTGCTTTTGTTTGCCCCCTTTTCGCATTAACATTCATAACATGTGGCTGCCTGCAGCGCGCCGATGAATCCCGTCCAACTGCCAAGCAGAGCAGCGAGAGTTCACACCAACTAAACCCGACACCCAAAACAACCGGCGCGAACCCGCGGAGCCACTCTTCTTCTTCTTCTTCTGCCTCGTGCGGTTATTGTTGTTATTGTTTACCTGTTTATTTTCAGAGCGAACGCGCGTCGCTCCGCGCTGTTCAGGGACGCCATGAGCGCGAGGGGGTCTGAAGTCCGGCTCGGCGGCGTCGGGCTCCGGCGCGTTCTCGCGGTCAGGGGTCGCCTCGCTGTCACCGACGCGCGCGCCGTTGCGTCGCCTCGCTACAGCCCGACTGTCATGGCAACACTCGCCTCTCGGTGGTGGCAGCAGCTTTCGTGGGCGTCAACTTCCGCGTTTGATTCGAGCCGCCCCGCGGAGGGAGAGGAGGCTATACGCGTGTGTTTATAAGCGCTGGCTCACACACACACTCTCTCTCTCTCTCTCTCTCCCTCTCTCTCTCTCTCTCTCTCTCTCTGTGTCTATGACGTAAAAATCAGGGTTTAAGAATTTAGCTGAACCCTTATAGCTTGCAAACTATTGAACCATATTAAAAGCTCGTTCTAATAGAAAAGCTGCAGGGATTAAAGGAAAAAATGAATAACGTCGCACTTCCACTTCCCTTCGCCTGGAGGTCAAAGGGTGTTTGGTCAGATGACTGAAAGGAACTTTTTGTTCTCATCAACCACGTTTGCAAATTAGCATGGTCGGGAATTTCACTAACTAAAAACAGGTTTGTTTACTTCTGCCGTTTGCATTTACGCTTTAAAAGTTGTGAAAGTGGTGTTCACAGTGAAGCTTGGCAAAACAATGATATGGGAGGGAGGCCGCGTTCTCCTTCAAATGAAAGCTGTATTCTGCTTTTTTTTTTTTTTTTGTTCAAGGAAAAGACAAGGAAGAAAAATAAATTGTCACACGCAGGCTGTGACTTGTTGTGGAACTATCAATGTTCACTGAGCACTGTATTAGTCAATGTAAATGAGATGACATTAACTGTAAGATAAGAAACCAAATTATGTAGCATGCGATTTGCTGAACTATCCTTTTACTCACAATACTGTAGAATCCTACTTTTCAGTTAAGGCTCATGGATTTCGGGATTTCAGCCCTATGAATGGTTTCTGGGTCTCCACTGTTCTATTGAATATCCAGCACTAATAAATTTGAAAATGCTACTGTTTATCCTCCACGACAAAAGTGTCCCAATTCACTCAAAGGTCCATTATAAGTGAAAATATACTGAGGTTTCACCTTTTCACAAAACACTTTTACACATTAGTGCAAAACATGCTTTACGTACAAGTGATAAACTTTAGCAGATACATCTGAAAACAGCCTGTTATTGTAGACATCACTCTGCGCAGGGCAGCTCAGACAGAAGTGAAGTTATAAAAATATTTTAAAAACACATTTTAGAATAGTGGGGGACTTTAAAGGGAAACCACCAGCGTGAAGCCGAGTTCACTCATCATTAGGAGCTCCCAGTTTGGGCTCCAAGTCAACACGATGTTTACTACTAGACGGGGCCACTACCTGGGGGCCTAATGGTGCAGTCAACCCGGATCCCACCAGGTGACATTCACTCATGTGCTCTGGTTTAGAGCCGGTCGGACAGGAACTAGAATGGGTAAAGTTGTCAGTATGAATAGTGGTCTAACAACATTATTGCGCAAGTATTAAATTAAACCGTGTCTCATCACACACTTGGTTGTTAGTTTTCTGATCGTTCTTGCACCAACTGCAACCAAACTGTGTCCCTTCCTCTTTGCTGTTTGCAGTTTCTTTTTTTGTGATTGGTTTAACTGAAATGAAAGGCTGAACTCCCGCTCTAAGAAATATATTTGGGCCGTATAATCTGTTTCTTATTAACATCTAAGCGTCAATTGAGGTGGAATAAAATAGCTTAGCTCAAATTGTTTTAGAGTGTTGAGGTTCAAGCCGCCTGTCGGTCAATTCGTCAGGGACAAGTTTGGGAATACCAATGTGGGAATGGCGGAAAGCCTTTCCCGTGTCCGGAGCCTGGTGATCCTTCTTGCCGTTTTCCAGTGATGACCCTGTTGTGTGCATAGCTTCATTCCAAGTAGGTATTTCATTGGCTTATTTAGGCTGGAGGCTGAGGCCAAAAAATGTATCATTGCATCATCACTGAATCAATTGAGGGCAGCTTTGGCTGCAGTGAATTTGTCTTCACGAGGGCTCAAAACCTCTGTATATGACGACTGCTGTTTTGCCAGGGAGCCATGAACCTGAACCTGAGCTCGAAGGTTGTCGTGGCCGAGTGGTTAAGGCGATAGACTAGAAATCCATCTGGATTTGCATGTCTCCGCCCATACCCAATCCATCCCCATCCCCCAAGCGATGGTGGTATAGTGGTGAGCATAGCTGCCTTCCAAGCAGTTGACCCGGGTTCGATTCCCGGCCATCGCAGATTTTTCCTCTGTATCACTTAAACTATCTTAAGCTATTGCAATTATTCAGTTGTAATGTCCCAGCGTTTGCTCTGTTTCGACTGCTCGTCTGGGCAGCAGGTTGTAGGAAGCTCACAGTTGTCCTTCCACCATAACAACTTATCTTTTCCGTCTGCTGGGGAACCAAATGATTCCAAGACCAGTTTTGATACGCTCCATCCATTAAGTTCACAAAATGTACACACACAGCATGTCTTGAACATGAAGACAGCTTATACAAGTATATGATCTATCTGCAAAGAATTGACAAAATGTTACAGCTGACCTCAATCTTTCCTGTTGTAACATTTTTAATAATTGAGGTGAGTTTACGCATACCTTAGCTCCATTCATTAAGATTATTTAAACAGGAACAGACATGTATATTATTTCCGAGGGACTTTGTAATTTTGTTAATACTCTAGAACTATGTCTGTTAAACATCAGCAGGAAAATTCCCCTCGTTGAACACTTACATTTAGGGGTAAGCCACCATCATATAGCCTATGCTGCTATCTCACGTCCACTTCAATATACTTATTTTAATTTTATCATTATTCAATCCAAAGTCTAAAAGTGTTGCAGGATTACTACAGTTGTTTGGTGGTGTTATATCTATTTTATTTTATGTTAGTATTTTTGGCAGCATATTCCCATTATCAACAACTTCGCCATAAACCGGCTGTGGTCGCCCTCTCGTGGCTGATACTTGTCACTACATTCAAGTTGTCTGTCCTGAGTAACAACTCCTGGCAAGGACAGAAAAGAAACGTTTGCGTGTTTACTATCAAACTGAGTTCAAATAATGCATAATGTCTTCTCAGGTTGACTCCAATATTATTTTTATCCTCTCCCAGCCCAGGGGACCAACGTGAAGGAAAGCGGAACCATTGTCGCCAAGTCAGTACCTGAACGGAGCCTAGACGGTGTCGCACACTGTGTACACAGTAATCCACATCAGTTTAGAAGCAACACCAGATTCAAGTGGAAACTTTAAAGTTTCGCATCCATAAACGGAACAGTCAGGTAACTCCTTTATAGCCGCTGCACGTGACGCAGACTCCGTCTGTTTAGCTGCTATTCGTTTTAGCAGGAGATTAAGTCCATGTCGCCTGAGCTCATTCAGTGACACGCTCCTCTCACTACTACGAAACTCAGGCGAGAGACTGGATGTTTTGTGTTGTTTGGATTTACGAGGACAAATAATTATTTATTTATTGTTTAATATTATATCCGACTATATATCTCAAAATATGAGATGCAAACGCGTTATTTCCCCCCCTTTAGTCTAAATCCCTCTCGCAGCCGTTGATGGTGCTGAACGTGTTTCCTCAGGCATGGATGTCATGGTGACGGAGGAGGAAGACGACTGCCCGGAGCTGGTGCCCATCGACGCCCCGCCTGCTCGTCCTGCAGAGCAGATACCAGTGACCATCATCACAGGCTACCTCGGTGATAGAGACCTCCTGCGCGTTAAACGGCTTTAACCAAGAGATTACAGCCTCAGACACCCTGTCCCGTCACAAACACGCGCTGGTGCCGGGTGTTCATTCCGCCTTCTGCTCACTCGTCGTTTCTGTGTGTTTTGTTTGTTTGCAGGTGCTGGAAAGACGACACTCCTGAACTACATCTTAACAGAGCAGCACAACAAGCGCATCGCTGTCATTCTCAATGAATTTGGAGAGGGTAAACTAAATCACAAATAGTATTTGTCTTTCGTTCATCCCAAACAAAAGGTGCTTCAAAATGAGTATTGTGTAATTGGTGCTGGGCTGGTGATTGACGCGTGACACCACAAGAGAGCAGCAGAGCAGTAACCTTGCATTGCAACCAAATGAAGCACAAACTTCTTCTTTTTTATACTATTAACACCTTGCACAACAAACAGCGACGAGGCATTTTCTGTAGAAGTTGAGGTCTTCACCCACTAGTCTCGTTTTGTTATTTTTCCGCGGCTGCAGGCAGCGCCCTCGAGAAGTCCCTCGCCGTGAGCCAGGCGGGCGAGCTGTACGAGGAGTGGCTGGAGCTGAGAAACGGCTGCCTCTGCTGCTCCGTCAAGTAGGTAGAGTAACTATGTTGAAAGAATGGAAAGGTTCAACACATTGCTTTGCCTTAGTTTAAAATAAGTTGATGCCATTTTTACATATGAACTGCTGTGCTGATGAGGGGGTATCAGTACACAGGAGTCCTGCCTTATTGGTTATTTTCCTGAGCTATGATGTATTTGTCTGGAGTCCTGTTTTTACAGCACAACACATTCTAAGTTCATATTTCACTTTGTACTGTGCGACTGTAAACATAACGTAAGTTATTTTATAATATGTGTCCCAATTCATAGCGTTTGGTCGTTAATTCTTCAGGGACAACGGTCTTAAAGCCATCGAGAACTTGATGGAGAAGAAAGGGAAGTTTGACTACATCCTCCTGGAAACGACAGGACTCGCTGATCCAGGTAGCATGCGTTCTGCAAAAAGTGGCGACAGATCTTGAGGATCTGTATTTGATTTATTTTAGTTTTTCAAGCTCTGGCTTGGGGATGATATAGTTCCAAAGTTCTTTGCCTCCTGTTGAAACCTCATGCTTCACTTGGAGCACACAACTCAGACAATTGACCAGACCGGCCTGAGGGAGGGAGCTCCATTGAGGTCGGGTGGTACGGCAGCTGACCCTTCTGTACCTCATGTCAGACAGCAGCAGGGTGGACGGGCTGGGGAGAGTATTTGCCTCCTTATATCCTCTCACCACTGGCCCTCATGATCACAAATGGTCAGCAGGAAAAATACTTTTTAAGAGGTGGGACCCAGACATTATCTCCCAGAAAACTGCAGCCCAAAATGTTGCAGTTGGAAGCGGCCGTCAGTGACATGGGGGCACTATTTGGACTGAAACAGAAAGTTCTGTGAGGGAACAAAAAAAAGTCTGTGACGTTTAAATCTGAAATATTAGTATACTTCATCAAAATGTTAGTATACTTCATCAATAGACTGAAGAATGTTTCTGCTTTATGGTATAGGTACGTTTTTTTACTCACTGGATAGCAGCAAATGTACTAATTCAATTAAATGAATTTAATTGAATTAGTGCGTTTTATGTAGTTGTAGCTGTCAGCCATGTCGGAGTTGAGTGTCCACTAATAGTCGGTCGAGTCCCTTCTGGACTCTACTGCAGCCAAGTACATTCTCTTGCACTTGACCGTCTCAGCTTTTAGTCTTCGACACAACTTTTTGACCAACTTCTGAATCAAGCAAAGCCCTTTTTCGCGTCAATGACGATTGAACCCTGCAGATTTCTTTCTAAAGGCCCAAATCCTATGTGAAGCGTTTTGTAACAAGTAAAAAGTGCAGCGAAAGGAAAAAAAACAGAGCTGTCCGTTCAGCTTTCACCTTTTAAGCCGGTAAATGAATATCGGGCCGCTGCAGGTGGAGCTCCGGGACAGTCGGGGCGCGTCGCTAAGTGACAGGTGTCAGGAGGGGGAGCACTTGGCCCTCGCAGACGGGCCCAACGTAGGCGGCTCACACCGGGCCTGTCCGCGCTCCTTGGCCGCGCCATTGGCTGAGACAGGCTCGTTATCAACTGGGACAGGTCTGTCATTGGCCCCGGCAGCGCTGTCAATCACAAAGGCTCCCCGGGGGGCGGAGGGGGTTCTCGTCTCGCACCCGGGAAGGGTTCGGATGAGTTGTGTGAAACCCGCCACTCAAAAACAGTGTTTTCATTACGCAGGCATCAAATATTTACAATGCTTTCTTATTCTCGCTTGGCAGTTTGACAAAAGGGCATTATGTGAACACGCTGTGGTTGGCACGGTAACATAGGGTTTTGTAATAACCGCTTTCACAGGAAAGATGGAAACAAACCAAATGTACCGGTGGGAGATAAACAATTGAAAGCTTCCGATATTGGTTTTATCCGCTCTGCAGCACCGCGACTGAGAGCAAAGCACGCATGGTTTCAACTTTAAAAAGAAAAACTCAACACAGGGATGGCGTTAAAAGTAGCTTAGTGACTTCATGTGAAATTATTTTTGCATTATTCCTATGTCACGTATTGAAAGGAATTGTCACAATTTACTTGTGTTGCTTTTCTCAGTTTTTGTGTTATTGAATATCCAGCTGTTAAGTCATTTAAATATGTTATCTTTTATCTGGGAAATTGTAATGGGTAGGTTTCACTTTTTAATGATTTTACATGTTATATATTCGGTTCTACAGACAGTTCTGGAAATCACAACCTAGCTGGATATTGCATTTAGTTTCGCCCAAATATTTAACATTTAATATTATTGAAGATCTGATTTCCATCAGATGTAATATATCACCATCCGTCTTGTAATGATCATCTCTGAACAGTGTATACTTAATAGAGCACGGCCATTTATTTCTAAAGCATGATTATTTCTGATGCCTTTTGGGGAAAAAGAAGTGTAATGACTGCATTAATGTAAAAAAAAATCAAAAGGAATGAAAACGGTCTCTACTTAATTTACTGTCTGACATTTTAAAAAGTGGCTTTTATGTGTTTAATGTGCTTCCGCAGGAGCCGTGGCCTCCATGTTCTGGGTGGATGCAGAGCTCGGCAGTGACATCTACTTGGATGGTGAGATATTTGTACTCACATGTTCTCATGATGCCGTGGAATTGAGGGTCAAGACACACTTTTTTTTTTTTTTTTTCACGTTTGTGCTGCATTTTAAAGACGTTGGAAGTGACCTTCTGTCTTACTGGTGTGTGTGTGTGTCTGTCTTGCTCCTCACACTAAATACCCAGCTGTCAGCTCTGTCGTCACAGACTGCCAAACCAAAAGTTGACTTCCAGTAACTCAGAGAAAACTTAAGCACTGAGGCAATTGTCAACGGAATTGTGGTAGATCATTTAATCCACTGATCCCTTTGTTCTTCTTAGGCATCGTCACTGTCGTGGACGCCAAGTATGGACTTCAGGTATGTACTAAGCAGATGTTCAAGAAGCCTCTTTTGTTATTTCTATTAAAAATGTCATGAAACTTCACAAGTTTGGTTTCTGGTTCAGGCTTCATAGATCTGTATATTAAATGCATCTGGGTTTTGGACTGTTATCCAGACATAACAAGCACTTTACGATTATCCCTCCTGTCACTGTTCCATTGTGATGTAACCGTGTCTTCTTTGCAATTCCCTGACAATCACACATGATTTGATCAAAGATCTTTGTCGCTGTGATCATTGATGCATTTAAGCATCGGCAGTGTTTTTGCCTCTGAGATATCCACCACGGCATTGGGCTTATTGTGACTTCCAGGCCAAAATAAGCTGTTAAACTTGTGAGATGGTTCCCGAGGGAAAAGGTGCACGCATATCCTTCCCTCCCGGAGTTATATAAAAGGAACAGGACAAGTGACACCTAGATAATGGGCTCCAATTTGAAGGTGTCATACTCAGTGAGGTGACACATTTCATGGCCTGTAGGTGCTGCTCTGTCTTCTCATTGGAGGGAGACCCGATGAAGGAAATAATGACAGAAGGAAGGGGAGGATAACTGATAGTGAAGGAGTAATAGATATCCGAGATGTGCCCATTGTAATAGGGCTGTCACATCCACTCACATGCCTCTCCCCTCATCTGTCTGAGAGGTTTTAAAAGTTGCCCTCACACCCTCCGAAGGCCTTTGTCTCTTGGTAAAGAAAAAAAGCAGCAAGTGGCCATTCTATTAAGGTCCTTTTTAAAACATTTCTGTCATCTGTTCCTTCAGAGATGAAGCGGTGACGATGCACGCACTGACAGTTTAATGTCAGGTTGACACCCAGGGGTCATGATCCAGATTATCACCTCCTGCTCTGTCTGTTACATATTAAACTGTTTTGAAGAAGCAGCAAACCACACAAGCCAGGAAAATGAAAGCCATCTCCTGTGGATTCATGTGTTGAGAAAGTCTTTCACGACAAAGATGACAGACAGGATTTTCTTCTATCAATTTATCCGTCACATTTGGTGTTTGTATCTGCAGCTATTTATTCCTGTTTTCAAGAATGGTTTGATAAGTTTTTAGCTCAGCTTGAGCGATCCTCTTGTTCCTTTCATTGTCTGCTTGCGTGTGTGACTTACTTCCATCGTCTCTGCCTCCCGTATAGCAACTAACAGAGGAAAAAACGGACGGACTCGTCAACGAAGCAGCCAGGTATGTTTGCTGGAGTTTTGTTTTCTAATGAATAATCTGACAGAAACACACCTTTCTGCCTCCTTACAGAGAAATCTAGGCATCAAATGGATAAAAGGTCCACTTTAGTGAGACAAAGTGAGGTTGATAGGTTGGTTTGGACGCAGCCTTGCTAGTTTCCCCCCACCCCCACCTCCTCCGCCGCCTTAAGAACCGCTCCGTGTCCCCCACGATGAAGCTGGTGACCACACTATTGCACCCAGCTTGTCTCCCCGGTGTCTCTCTGTTTGTTCTCCTCCGGCAGCTGTGTAGTGTTGTTGTGGTTGTTGAACAAATACACTGATGACGAAAGACCAGTTGCACGACCCTTTGCGTTCTTTGTTTGTGTTTTCACCTCCACCACCAAACAGCGCTCAGCTCCCATTTGAGTCTGGCGCGCGCTGTCCACCGGCTCTCACGGACATTCCCGCTCGCCCCACCCAGCACGTCACCAAGCATGAAAACAGGCGATCGCTGCCTCGTTCGATTTAGATTTCGGACGTGATCTCAGAAAATAAACATTGCACGGTGTTAACATGAACCGTGTGTACGTAAAGTTGTGTTCGCTGTCCTTTCAGGCAGATTGCTGTCGCCGATCTGACCATAATCAACAAGACGGACCTGGTGAATGAGGAGGAACTCGCTCGAATCCGAGAGGCGGTCAGGTGAGCTTCACAGACCTTCACTGCTCCACTTTTCCTTTTTTCTAGAGCAGCAGTATTTAGTGTCTTTGCCTCTTGTGTTTGAGTAACTTGTGAACACATTTGACCCATTTTGTTAAGACATGAAGAACAAAGGTTTGAGGGGATACGGCAGTAGGAACAAGGTCCAATTATCTGAGTGCTACACTTGTTTTTCCCTTTCACTTCAGGTCTGTAAATGGTCTTGTCAAGATCGTGGAAAGCCAGAAGTCCAGGTACGCCCCCCCCCGCTCCTGCTCAGATCTTTATATCAAAGATTGAGTCGTTCAACCCTTCGTTCACACACACACACACGTTTACATACACAAACTGCTGCACCCTGAATAAACACCCAACCTTCAACGGTGTCCAGTTACCCACAAGTCTTTGCTCTTTGACCCTGGGTCTTCGAGTCGGGTGGTTGAATGCATGTGTGTGCACATATGTGTATGTATGTGTGTGTGTGTGTGTGTGTGTGTGTGTGTGTATACGCGCCCTCTGAGTTAGCATGTTGCGTGTTGTCGGACTCCGGTAGCATCTGGCTAACACAAGGAGTGCGTATCAAAGGTTTGGGTGTGTTCTGGATCTGCTCTCGCCACCCCGCAGAGTTCAGACCAGGGTGAACACATGAAAGACGCCGTGCAGTGAGGGGTTAATCGGAAAAACCTTACCACAACTTTTTAGCTTGAGTCGGCATACTCAGTTACCCTGATTGTTAGTTTTAGCCAACTTCTAATCAGTGATCTTGTTTCACAGGGTGAACCTCTCTGAAGTGCTGGATCTGCATTCCTTCGACAGTAAGGACGGAGCCAAGTGAGTTGCATTCGTCCCCTTCATGGTTCATGTACACAGAATGCATTCATAAATCTAAAAAAACCAATGTATTAGAAGCCTAAGACATTTTACTTATATATATATATTTGTTACGTAAACATTATGAGAAGCCCTAAAACCTGCTCTCTGACAGTAATGTGTCGGTCACATCACATAAAAGTAATGTGACCGTGTTTCTAATTTACTTAGGAAATTACCACATATTTCTACTACAAAAAAAAGGCAATGACATAATAAACAATACAATAAATAAAGTAGTAGCACTTGAGCGGTGCCACAGTAAAATTAAGAACAAGTAGATTTGTGATAAAACCTATTTATTACTAAATAGTAATATTACTTTTCACAGCTGAAAACCCCTTTTTTTCTCTCTAGTGGACAAAATATCAAACGGAAACACGTTTTTTAAATTGCCTTGAACATGTCTTTGGCATTTCTTCACTGCAGTTCGACACAATCCCAAATACTCCAAAAATCAATGTGTCCGCTGATAATAACATAATGTGTTCTACTTGACGTCTCGCAGTGAAAGATCCAGACTTGTTAGACTGCGTTGACAGCCTTTGTTGCTGGTCGGTCTGAACGGTGCACCCAGCGGTCTTTGATACTGTTGCTCATCATGTTTCCCTCTAATTAACACACTCTTTTATTGAGCGTCCCCCTGTTGCACCGCGGGGTGCTCATCATATTGTGTCCCCTGCAGAATGTCATGCCCATGAATAGAGTCAGTGTCCGTCCTTTCATGTGAATGTAACGGGCCGCGGCGTTAAAGCTCTCTTACATGCCCTCCTCGGTCAGTGTCTCTGAGACCAGCTGCGGAGGATTAGAGCCGTGTGTGTCCACCGGCACCCGAGGAGTCCCCCCCTTGTCCCAACAGATAGCTCCTTTGCCCCTGCCTTTGAGAGTCCCCAAGCCCCTCCCCTCCTCCCCTCTCCATCCCACGCTGGCTGTTTGAAGCGCCCCCCCCCGCCGCTCCGCCTGTGTGGCACTAACAGCACACGGGGCTCAAGCCGCTGGACGCTGCATTTAGCCTCCTTGTGAGGTCAGGGAGGAGGGGGGGGGTTTGATGGGGAGAACAAGGGCCGGAGTTTGTTTGGGGGTGATGGTCAGTGTTTTGTAGGATTTAATTGCCACTGCTTAAAGTCCATTCAGAGTTGTGTCTTTAAGCAGTGATACAGCATGCAGTGTGGTGCACTGTGAGGCAGCGCAGCAGAGAAGATATATTTTGGGAAGAGCGCATGTGTTGCTTCAGGTGCTCCTTTAATGTAACCTGAAGAAGAGCAATAGTGAATCAATCAATCAATGATTTAAAACAATGGTGTAAAATGTGTGAAAAATTAAAGTCAGTTAAAAAAACGTGGTTCATTACATTTTGGGTTGGGAGCCTTTGAAAATAAAATGAATATCTACTTACGAGCCTTTAGTACTTCATCCTGCATGTGTGTCTGCTTGCCCTGCATCTTAAAAAAAAATAGAATTAAGTTGTACAGCAGAAACTATACTAAACTATGATCAGTCCCAAAAAAATTGGCCCCTCGTGAGATTTTTCAAATACCTCAAACGTCAGGAGACAGAACAATCATTTAAATACTGGTGATAATATAAGAGATTATAATCACTCTGTCAGACCTTCTATTGACAAAGGGTGTAAATGCAGCTACAACAATCCCAACATGTAGCTGCGGTCAGTCCGTCACGTCTCCACGTAGTACAGCTCACTTACATCACAAATGACTCTCATCACGGTAGTAAACGCCGCATGGTTTCTCTGCTGAAGCTGCATGAAACTGTTGAAATATGTTGTGACGCTGATCGTTTCTCTCTTCTGAAAAGTCTCGCTGAGAAGCTCCAGCTTGTGAAAGACACGAGACCACATCTCGACAAGGTATTGTTGTGGTGCTCCGAACGCCGTCTGGTTTGTTCTTTCATTCCTTGACTGCCGACACTTCTGCATCTCTCATAGTTTTCCTTGTTTTGTTTGCTAATTTATTTCAACACGTCATTTCCTCCAGGATAAAGGGCAGCCATTGTCCTGAGGCTAACGTTGTGCCTCGCATTCCCCCAGGCTGTGACACTGGAGTGAAAACTCCCTCCCTGCTCTGTTTTTTTTTTTTTTTGTTTGGAGATGGAATTGAGGCTTTTGATGTTTCCTTGTCACCCAGTCTCGGTTCCTAGGCAGCATCACAGACGTTCAGTAGACTGGGCCCACTGGGTCGGCTAGGCCGACGGGAGAGTCTTCGCTTCGTCTTATGGCTTTGCACAGAATCCCGATGTCACACGAAGGGATGTAAAACAATGTTTGGGAACCCCCTGTTGTATCGTACGAAAGAGCGCAGCGTATCTCCCAAGATCCGATCGGTTAAGTCCACCTCTTTTCAGTGAAGATGTAAATTCGGAAAAAATATTTATTCCAGGATTAGTCCCTTGCCATTTATCTTAAAGCTTTCATCAAACCAAATGACCCCTCGCGGCAATTAGGCCTCATCTTGTGCTTCAAACCCGCGACCTTTTATCACAGGATGAGGAGGGATGAGGGTTGTTTGTGTGGGTAAATAACGGCATTGTTGTCTGTTTTCTCCGAGTTCTCTTTCCCGCATGAAGCTCAATCGTCCCTCCAGATCCTCCCCCCTGGCCCCCCCTCCTCCTCCTCCTCCTCTTCCCCGCGTTGCTCTTTTCATGCAAATGAGGATGCTGTTTTTCTGTTGTTATACCAAATGACAAGGAAGTGTGTAACCTTAACACTCTGACACAAAAACCCCCAAATATCTACAAAGTGCCCTTTAAATGCTGTAAGGAAGTATAGAGAAGTGTGTGTGTGTGTGGGGGGGGGGGAGGAGAGCGAGAGAGTGGGGGGGGTGCGGGCAGATGAAGAGCGGTTTCAGGTGCCGAGTGGAGTTGTGGTTTTTGACACTGTCGTTGACGGAGTCATCAGCCGGGGCGTAAAAACACTCCTTTTGTTTAACGTTCATAATGACTTTGCTGGTTTCAGTGAAGACAATATGTTAAAATATGTTTCAAAAAAACAGAGTAAATTGTTGTTAGTAAAAACACCCCCAAAAATGTATTTTTCCAATTTACAAGACGACATGAAATTTGCCAAAGTTGAATTTATTTGTTAGGGGGAAAATGTTGGAACTCACTAGAATTCCATAAATGCTTTTCTTCTCAAAGCCACAAAATGTCAAAATTTGGTAAGAATATATTGATTGCAGTTTCACCCAGTATTTAATGTCATCCTCAGAGTATTTTAACTGTGACGTTTGAAGTGGCCGGAGATCTCTCGGAGGATGCGCTCAATGTCTTCATCCAGGTTGGTATCCCATTTTGCCATTACTAATTAGCTCCAACACAATGCAGCCCTTTGTAAAGTAAACACCCTTTTTCCACCCTTCCAGGATCTCCTATGGGAGAAGATGTTCAAAAACAAAGAGGGGCAACCCATGACTGTCATTCGGTTGAAGGTACAGTAAGGCACAATAGCCACCCGGGTGGCAGGAGAGATCAATAACGGACACTTTATTATCCGTATTAATCAGTTGCAGGCGCCTCATTCAGGGTTGGTTAATGTGTCACTCGTCACCCGGGACTTGTGTGTTTTCAGGGCATAGTATCATTTGCAGGTAAAGCCCACCAAGTGATGCTGCAGGGGGTCCACGAGCTGTATGACCTGAATGAGACTCCGCAGCTTTGGGGGGAGAACCCGCGGATCAACCGGCTGGTCTTTATAGGTGAAGACACGCACACTTTCACATGTGTATCCTTCCACAGAGTCTTAAGCACCAGCGCAAAGGCGGCCAGTTGATTCCATTGCATCAAATTCACAGTCTTCACTCCAAAGACCTGGAAATCCGCCACTTAAGTCACGGTTGAACTAAATCCAAATGTTGCCTCACTACCACATTACGTTTACTTGTCCTGCAGGTAGGAACCTGGACAAGAACATTCTGCAGGAACAGTTCATCTCTACAGTGGTGGAAGGAGCACAGGGAAATTAGCCACCAACGTTCTCTCCTCTTTGCGTTGAAACCGGACCGTTCTAGGGGGGGGAAGTCATGGCTTTTGTCCATGTTTGGATCTGTGTTCCAGACGTTCACTCCCTTCCTACATGAGTGCGGTACACCGGTGGATGGTAATGGTTACCGTCATGATCAATGCAGTAGTTTCAAGTTGTGATAATCCTACAGTACCTGCTTTAAAAGCTACAGAATATCAAAGAGTGTATAAGTTGCCGTAGTGTCTGAGCTAAATGCTGAGTGCCACCCTGGAGAGCTACTAGGAACATGCACTAGAATGTGTACACACACAAAGATGCAACAACAAAAATATTGTGATTTAAATATTTTCATAAAGATGGCTTTGTAAAAATCTGCCATCTTCTAAGGTTGGGAGTCCAAGTAGTGTGAGAATGTGCCAAGGCACTTACACAATGCATCACATGTGGAACAAGACTGTACCTTGGAAACAAGTAGACACGCTTCGGTTTCTGACTTTTAACATCTGTATTTTTTTAAAATTATTTAAAATAAACTTCTTTTTCCTGAATAAAATCTGAGAATTCTCTGAAATACCTGCTAAGTTCACCAGGATACTCAACAAAGTGTAAGGAAAAAGAAAAAGTTTGGCTTTTATTAGAATGAAATTCATACAAAGAGTTTTTTAAACTTCTGCTTCTGGTCAGTTGTCCGTGGTCATAATAAAGCGATTCACTGTGGTGATGACTCTGATGTCCCAGTCAGAGTTGTGTTTCCTAAAAACACCATATAATTGGTTCTAATGTCTTAGCAGTGCCATGCAAACATGTATCATTTTGGTCCCTGGATACATTGAGTAATACCTCAAAAAGGCATGCGGCTGTTCACTGAGGTGAAACTGGTGTTAATAATATGCCTAACCTTAAATTCAGAACCATCCTATCAATGGAGATGTAATTGGTTTCCTTTAAATGAACACTTGTTTTAATGGCCCACCGGGCTCATCCAGTTCCCTCCCTTCAAAGCGCATAAAAGACTAGATGTTGAATTGCTGCAGCAATGGAGACGCAATACTTGACGTATCACTGCCACTCTTGTTTCCAGCTATTTGTTACTCTGGCTTCTATCGGCCTTTGGCACCGTCATGTGAGAACCACCCTTCTCCCACCGCGGGCCCAGTACGGTGAGGAAATAGGTGGAGTTTTCCCAACGTGGTCATTTGCAATGGAGATGTCCCCCCGCAGAAGGGATTTTTTTTAGCACATATCCGCCGTAAGACGGGTTTGCTTTGAGGATCGCTGCGCTCATTCATCCCGCTCGTAAAGCCGAGCTGAGCCCGGTAGCCCAGAGCGCACCGTTCAGCCGGGCCGTTTCCTACTCGATTCTGATGCTGATGGCCTCGTTAAGGCGGCTATTGGCCCCTTTTCTCTGCGGTCCGCGGGGAGCCCTGCCACGGCCATCTTCATGGTCACACCACCTGCGGGCATCCAGAGGTGGCAAACTAAACGAACCCGCGGGGATCCCGAGGGTGGGAACGCTTGGTTTCTTAGCGCTGGATAGGCGTGGTGTTTAAAACTCCAAAGAACATCTCACCTCCGACTGTGCTGTTGTGTGTCCTGCAACATCAGATGATTAAAATACCGGGGGGGGGGGGACTTTAACCTCATCGCGCACACACACAGACATGCATGTGTGTGACATGTGATGCAGGGCAAGAGTGCGAAAAGTTTGTGTATTGTTTTATTTTTTTTGTTTGGGGGGGGGGGTATTTGTATGAGGTATGTAAGTTGGTCACTCAATCTTGCAATTTAACAAATTGAACGCAACGGATTTGTTAAATTCAACAATTCGAGCTTCCTTTGCATGATCAGGCCGTGCGCACTTCACCAATACCCAAAAAGCCCCCCTGCCCCCCTCCCCGATCTATGTGCTTGCCTCCTTGGCGCCCCACGGCGAGGGACCCCTCTGATAGGTCCAGAGGGTTAATGGGACTGGCCTGCAGGACAGTGATCTCCCAAGGATATAAAGGCTGAGCACTCCTATTCCCAACTAGTCGTTACACGAGGTTTGAGAAGGACCGGACTGCTGGTGCGCCTTTACGCACGAATAAGGGCCTCTTGGTTTTTTACGCTCGGCAAACTATTCATGCATCTTTGGCACAGTTGAGTGTTTTTTCAAACGCGTTTTTTCCCCCACATTCTGCGGGTGAACATGACTCTGTCTGGTGAGTTTGAAGCTTCTCAACACGCTACTTTGCCTTTGGAAGAGGATGAGATTGACATTGTGGGCGAGGACGAGCCGACCCACGGGCACTTGTATCCAAACGAGTGCTCCACGGAGCACGGGTCCTCGGCAGAATCCGGTGCTGAATTTGACTCCTCGGAGCCAGACTCCTCGGGGGAGAGCGAGAACAGTTTCTGCGCAGACGCGCCGGCGTCCAGGAAAGCGCAGAGCAGCTCGGTGAAGCCCCCCTACTCTTACATCGCCCTCATTACCATGGCCATCCTGCAGAGCCCGGTGAAGAAGCTGACGCTGAGTGGCATCTGTGACTTCATCAGCAACAAGTTCCCTTACTACAGAGAGAAGTTCCCCGCGTGGCAGAACTCCATCAGGCACAACCTCTCCCTCAACGACTGTTTCATCAAGATCCCGAGGGAGCCGGGAAACCCTGGCAAAGGTAACTACTGGTCCCTGGACCCTGCCTCGGAGGACATGTTTGACAACGGAAGCTTCCTCCGGCGAAGGAAGCGCTTCAAGAGAAACCAGCCCGAGTTTGGCAAAGACGGACTTGGAGTGTTTTATTCCAACCTGAACTGCTACCGGCCGTACGGTCAACCCTACTGCGTACAGGCCCAAGTGAGCCCCCCGCCCGCTGCTCCCATCCGCTACATGCCTCTTCAGGAGGGCATTATGATGCCCCCTTCCTCCTATCACCTTTTGCCACATACTTTGAACAGTCACGGGAAGTGCAGCGGGCCTAAAGACTTCAGAGCGCAGCTTTGCGCAACGCAGCCCGCTGAGCCAAAGCCTGGCCCGCAGGCGAGGTGCTCCTTCAGCATTGACAGCATCATGAGCAAACCCTCCCTGCAGCAGGGCCCTCGCTGCGCCCTTGGGTACGGTCACCTCGTGGCGGGCCCCGCCACTTGTTTGGTTCCGACTCTCCTGCAGGCCGCCAGGACTCCGTTCTGCCCGCCGGCCGCGCTGGGCGCTCCTTCTTTAAGAAACGAGCACCTCAGACTGTCTTACCATCTCTGTTGAAGCCCTCACAGTGTCTGGACGCGCGGAGACACGTCGGTGGGGCTCATTTCTTAAAGAAATGTTTTGATTGCATGATATTTATGTGCGTTGACATTCAAAGTTATGTCTTTAAAAAGAAATCTTTAAATAAGAAGAGTGGTAATATATATATATTTGTGAGACTTGTTGCGGTTTATTGCATTGTTGTGTTTGTGTTGGTAATTCATGTCGAAATAAATGTCTGAAAAATATTTGTGATGTTCCAAGGTCTTTATTCAGCCATTAGCTGCAGAACTGTTTGGGATCTGGGCGCAGTGGAATCACTTTTAGATTATTGTTAATATTATAACACTGCTTACTAATCAAACCACCTGATATTAATTCATCTCTGTTTATATTGAGAAGTCAGAAACATGTTCAGATTGTGTTACATTGATGCATCGGGTGTCAGTTTAGGATTTAGTTGGATGTTCTTTAACAATATCACATTATTTAAGTCAAACCTTTTAACACGCCCACACCCTCCCTGTCCAGTCACATGCTTTGTATTATTTGTTCATGGTATTCATAAATCAATCCAAAAATGCTGGTTAAATATTAATTAGGATTCGTATCGGTGACGTTTTGGGAAAAATATAATTTAAAACGTATTTTCCATCCAGGTCTAATCCCAGGTCTACAATTTAAAATACACATGTATTAAATATTAACAACTAACGAACAAAAGTAATATGATTACAATCGATACAACAACATTCACGTAAATTATTCAAAACAGGAATAATAAAACCCTCTGTTCAGTTAGATAAAGGTTCTATGACGGATCCTTGTCGCTCTTCTACGTGTGAATCAAACGTTCAGTTCTTTCTTCCTGCCACAAGGCGGCACTGTTCACCGCATCTCGGAGCGCACACACACACACACACACACACACACACACACACACACACACACACCGCCTTCTGGAGACAACTTCACCTGCTCGTGTACAGCGATCAAATGCGATGCCACTCATTCTTTTCTTCTTCTTTAAAAATAAAATAAAATAAAACAACCACTCTGACAAAATATCCTGCGCGCGAGCTGACATAACTACAGCAGAACAAATGACTTTTTAAAGGAGAAATAGAGGAGTCGTGCTCGGGGTGCTGTCATAAACCCCTTAGTGACTTTGGGGACAGTTTACGCCTTCATGCCGGTCAGTGCGCACGGCTCGGACACGAGCAGTGTCCGGTTGCAGAAAGGGTCCCGACACAATTCCCCCACCGCCATCAGTCAACGGGCTATTTTGGGCCGGAGGCTCAGCTGATTGTGGGCCTTGAAGATTTTGTCCCTCCCTACTTTTTTTCCCTTCTCTCTCCTGTAGTCAGTTGTTCAGGCTCATTAGGAGAAGAGGGAGTTGTCCCACAGCTAGAGGAGAGTTTTGCTGAACGCGGGACGTCCACATACAATTGGCGAGGGGATTTTTGTCTCTTGTCCTCCCGGCGTGGGACAACCACTGCGCCACTTCACCCACCCGCGAGGACCCCCTTCGCTCCGCGCGTCCTCCTCATGACAAACACGGCTGCTTCGACTCAGGGGTCCGAAAACCAGCAGAAGCCAACTTCAGTTTGATCGGCGTCGCCCCCTCTCCTCTCCTCACCCCGCCGTCCCCTTCTCCTCTCCTCTCCACCCCCCCCGCTGGGCGCCCTCAGAAGGAGGATGGAGACGAGCCCCATCCCGGTGCTGACGGTCCAAACCGCCCCCTTCGAGGACCAGCGGCCCGGCACCAACGGGCTGCGGAGGAAGACGGCGGTGTTCGAGGGGAAGAAGAACTACCTGCAGAACTACATCCAGAGCGTGCTGTCCTCCATCGACCTGCGGGACCGGCAGGGCTGCACCATGGTGGTGGGCAGCGACGGCCGCTACTTCAGCCGAGCCGCCACCGAGGTGATAGTGCAGATGGCAGCTGCGAATGGGGTAAGGAAGAAGGGGTGAGGAGGGGAGGGGGGTGACCGTAGGCCCACAGAGACTAGGAAGCATTTGTTCCAATATATCACCGTAATGGGACCCTCCCAACACCATGTGTGCCGAACTAAGAGCTATAGGGTGGTGTGTCTGCAGAATAAGTTGTAATAAGTAATCTGTTATGGACATGAATCAAAGTGTGACCCTATCTGTATCACTGGAATGGGGAAAAGGGAAATATCAACTTAATTGACCTGTTTTGCTCAAAGAAGCGATCGCAGTTCAGGATGTTCATATGCTGTAGTCCTGTGGTTCACAATCAAAGGGGTCACGAGATGATTAAAACTTTTAAAGTTATATTTCTTCAAGCCTTTAAAACTTAAATATAAGTGTAAAATCCCTCTTCCATTGATCTGCTCTAAACTCATATCGACATATACTTTTTATTAAGGGGTCACCAGCAAATAAATATAGGGAAGCATTAGAAAAGCTAATGTAAAGTAACTTATCAGCCTCATAACTGCTGTTAGCAGATTGTTATAAATCTTTTTACAAAAATGTTGGCTGGTTAGTTGGTTACTTTATATTTTTGAATCTCAATTGTACAATTACATCCCATATACATATATTTAATTGCATAGTTGTTGAACGTTTAGCATTACGGCCGTGGCTAGGGAGTCATTTTTAATGTCAACCTGTCCGAAAAAACGTGTCGTCAGTAGATCAATAAAAAAAACTACTGGAAGACAGTGAGAGAGAACGAGTGTGAGCTCACGGCTCATGTTAAAACGCTTGCTCTGAGATCTCTGTGATTGGTTTGGAAGGGCTCCAAAGGAAAATCTACAAGGGAAATAACTTGTTTTTGAGTTTTCTTTTTCTGCTGGCCCAGCCAAATGTCTCTTGATGTCAGCCTTATCAGCACTTCCATCCATCCTGCTCTATTTTCCTGCCGACGTATGTTCCCCCCTCCCTCTCGCCGTTCCACCTCTCCAAGGCCAAACCTCATGCTTTGGGAATCCCCTGTCATATGGCAGCCAAGTCTCTTACACTAGTAACTAAATAAAATGTAAACATAGTTGGAAATAGTGGATTGATTTATGTTCTTTGCCCGGAATAATCTGAATGTGTTTTTGGAAGAACATGTATGTCAGGCGTAGTCCCTCACTTTACTTTTCTTTTCTTTATATACTCATGCAACATGCCGGATGCAGGGAGGATGAATTCCTCTGCAGTGAGGATACTTTTATTTTGAATGGCTGATATGCAAGGGAATTATGGGATGTTGGTGGTATTACCACTTTAAAAGTAGCATACAAATTATAAATAGAGAGGGCAACTCTGTTATTTAGCCCCCCCCCCCCTCGAGGCGGATCATTTTGCTGTTTTAAAGCTGCCTGTCAGTTAGTCACCTGTAGAATTATGCACTGCTTTCAGCCGGTGTTGCTTTTAGAACCAGTTGGACAGATGGGCTCTTGAACTTCAGGTCAGCATAGTTGTTTTTCTATTTTTTGTGTCGCAGCGATTTCCAGAAACTCATCCCTGACAAAAAAAAAACAAAAACCTCAGAATTTGAAATTCATTAATCGCGATTAATAGTTTGGTTTTCTAAACTAAATCTTGCCACTGACCCCCCTTCTGTTTGTCACGTGCACTACGTTAGTTGCATTAATCTTGGCCCCAATAATCTCATAAATGAACGTGTTAACTTTGTGAGCTCTACTTTTAGCTTTTTAAAAAACATTATAAGAACAGGTGACAGCCTGGATTTGATGTGCTGCTGACATTGCTTCTGTTCAACATCTGCTCGGCGCAGATCGGCCGTCTGGTGATCGGTCACAACGGCCTCCTGTCCACCCCCGCTGTTTCCTGCATCATCAGGAAGATCAAGGCCATCGGCGGGATCATCCTCACAGCTAGTCACAACCCCGGAGGCCCCGCTGGAGACTTTGGAATCAAGTTCAACGTGGCCAATGGAGGCGAGTACTGAGACTTCTGAGTTTTTTATTTCTTTTTTTCACTGGACAAAAAAGACCACCCTCGTTCGGTACTTTTACCAACATTCATGTCGCCTTCCTTTGCGTGGTAGGACCCTCTTCGGACACAGTGATGGAGAGGATCTGCCAGGTGAGCCGGACGCTCGAGGAGTATGCAATATGTCCCGATCTGCGCATTGACCTGTCCAGGCTGGGAAGGCAAGAATTTGACCTGGAGAACAAGTTCAAACCTTTTAGAGGTACAATACCAACTGGCTGCTTTGCTCTTTATAGAATACGTACAAACACATTTCCATTTGACTAAGAATCTCCCTCTGTGTTTCTAGTGGAGATCGTGGACTCAGTTGAGTTGTATCTACAACTGCTGAGGAACATCTTCGACTTCAATGCCATTAAAAGTCTTTTCTCGGGACCAGATCAGCTCAAGATCCACATAGATGCCATGAACGGAGGTCAGACAATTCCTCCTCTACCTCACGTAGCCCGCGAGCCGCTGGGAGACTCACCCGTTTCCGTCTTCTCTCCTCTCCTCATGTCGTGCTGCAGTGATGGGCCCCTATGTGCGCAGGATCCTGTGTGACGAGCTGGGAGCTCCCGCTAACTCTGCTGTCAACTGCGTCCCCCTGGAGGACTTTGGTGGGCGACCTCCAGAGCCCAACCTGACTTATGCCACGTCTCTGGTAGATGGCATGAAAGGAGGGGACTTTGGCTTTGGAGCGGCTTTTGATGCGGATGGGGTAAGACTTCTTATTTCTACAGTCTTAAAAGCTGTCTGGAGGGGATCTTCAACGCTTTTTAATGTCATTTTAAGCATTTATATGTCATATATCGAATTGGCATTTTTTTATATTGTAGTAGAGGAACAAATCCCCAAAATGGGCTTTAGTTTTCTACCCGAGGAGAAACAGAGCATGACCATGTTTTTTAATAACTGGGAACTACTACCATTTATTTTCTTTCCGATTATGACTAAATCATTGTCATTCGGCTCCACCCATAGATACCAGGGCGAGCCTTATTTATTTGTATTTATTGTTGTATGCTCATTGAGGAAGACAAGCAATGGAGCTGAATAATTCAGTATTCATAATGATCCAACAAGCAGCTCACTTTTTCCACCATGTCGTCCAATAGTCATTTCTATTGTGTACTCACAAACACACACATATACACACCCACACACCATGCTTCCGCGTTTCTTCACCCTATGAGTTGAGAGAGAGTCAAATAGAGAAGATCACCGGCCTTTTCTCTGTAAAGTGTATGATCACTTTATTACAGTAAAAGCTAGGCTGACCTTCTGTTGTGTTTCACCGTGCTGTCGTCAGGACCGCTACATGATCCTCGGAGAAAAAGGCTTCTTTGTGAACCCGTCAGACTCGGTGGCCATCATGGCCGCCAACCTGTCCTCCGTCCCCTACTTCCGACAGCTGGGAGTCAAGGGCTTCGCCAGAAGTGTTGCCACCAGCACGGCCCTCGACAGGTACAACACACGCCTACGCTCACACACACACACACACACACACACTCATTTATTGTGAAATATTGAAATAAATCTTATAAAATGCTTGTTGTAATTGGTGAACATCACACCATTGTTAGTATTGACCGCTGCCAGGAAACATTTAGTATATTATTAAGTAAAATAGTTCTATATAAACAGGATTCTGCCAATCCTGATCTCTCTGGGTTTCACTGCTGCAAGTGAAGCTTAGATATGTGAAGTAGGATGTTACATCACTGAATTATTGGCAGGCTTGGTAGACACACCAACACAGGCACGCGTACACACACAAACACACGCACACACACACACACACACACACACTTGTGTGGCGTTGAGCTGATCCTCGCCTCAGGCTGCGTCTTATGATGCTCAACTGAAATAATGATCCCAATGAAGAGCTGCAGGAAAGTTTTGTTCTAAGAGGCTCCTGTGTGAGCCTCGCCCCATTACACTTACACACAAACACACTCACGTACACACTGGCTTAGACCCGATACACACATGTCACATGTCCTGGTACAACCCTAAGCCATGCCCCCCCCTCGTACAGCTCACTCACACACACACACTCTCCTATTGTAGATGAAAGGCCTTTTCATCAGTTACATCAAAATGTCTCCTTCAAACCCCTCCTTCATCTCTCTCTGTTCATTTTGTCAGAATTTGCTGTTTTTGTCCTGATTAGGCCCTAAATTTAATTTCCTGGAATCTCAGTTGGGAAATCTTGTCAAACTCCTGAGAAGTAAAATTACCATAAAGAAAGATCTCTATTATAGATAATACATAAATTACAGATAATATCACGCTGTTGGCTTTCTGGCTTCGTCAGAAAATTGCATCGTGTAAGATTTTCTTTCTCTGTTGCCTTGTTAAACCCAACGTGGGGTTTTGCAAAGCATACCTACCTATTCACTTATCTGATAGTTACTGGCATTGTAGCAGGACACGGCCACTTTGTTTAATTTCATAACCAGCACTCAAGCTCCTAATGTAACACCGCTGTCCCTGAAAGCAACATTTACACGTGTGCTCGACAAACTCCAGGGAGTGTCGAAGTGCCTGCGCAGTGTGTTGTCGTCCCCTGGAGCCCGCCCAATTGTAGGCCTTTTTAGGAGAGCGAGTGGCCGCCGTGTGTGTCCGTGCGCAGTGTGTTTACACTGAGCAGCCCTCCCTGCCGTGTGTTTATGCATAGCCAAGCAAACTGTGCTATAAACGCCTTGATAAACGCGCTGGTTCGTGGACAATGTGCGGCTCTGTGTGACCGAGGGGAATAAAGGAACAACGACGGAGAGAGGGAGGCATGTATCTGGGTTCAGATGGTCAGAGGGCCAAAGTTACAGGTGTAAAATCGTGATGGTGTCTGTCTATCTGAGTTACAAACACAATAAGGCTTTGGAGGAGGAGAAGAAGAAAGCATCAGCCTCTCCTTTAACCGCTGGAGGGATGGAAGGATGTAGGGAGAAGAAAGGGCTGAGCTGCTGCTGTGCCGCTACCGGGACATCGTCTGTACTGAATCCCTGATCGGCACGGCCAAAGGTCAGATTTGGTAACCTCCACCGTAGGAAGGACGGTGCCAGGACGGCTTCACAACAAAGACAGAAGGCAGTGTGACCTGGAAGCCCACCGTGCAACATTAACACAAAGATTTAGGAGTCGCTGCATGAGAAAGAAACCTAAAGAGGTCTGTAGACTTTAGAAGAACCGCAGCTGCTTCACTGGGACCAAGTGAGGGCCTGCAGAGGCGCAGGAAGCCCTTTTGAGGGACCAGCCTTCCTCTAAACCTGCGACAAGGACTACCAGTCCTGTCCGGACTTTACAGTCCCAAACAATCCTCCAATGTTCCTACGGGACTTTAGGATGTCTCCTATACGGCGGAGAATTAGGAAAACAAGTTAAATTAAACACTGACCCCACAAGCATATTTCTCTACCCTGCTGTAGTATTACTAGATGATAATATTTATATTCCTGTATTTTGATAACGTTCTAAACATTGTTGGTAACAGCAGGGACCATTTACAGATGTTCGCTCAACTTTATTTTTAATTCTTCACATTCCGGGATTTTCAGTGTTGGCCACTAAGGCAACATCTTCAGTGTATTCCATTTCTTTGTGTAGTCCAGTGAGGTTCAGGCCAAGAAGAATGTTTCAAGCCCAAGTAAAGCTCCACTGCGCGGTTCTTTTTGTCTGAATGCCAGCTGAAAGCTTTTAAGTTCACGTTGAGCTCTCTTCAGAGGGGGAGGTGAGGGGAGAGGGCACTGTATGCTATGTTTGGTAAAATATCGAGCCAAGGCCAAACGCTGGCAATATTTCACTTTGCAGATTCTTCATTCCTCACATTACCCCTTTCTATATCCTGATATACACAAGATAGGGACAGAGAGAAAGCAAAAGAGATATTGGTTGATGAGTGTGTACAAGTGTGTGTAACTTTGTAATCTTCAGCGTTGAGCTCATGAGGGGTGTTGGAAGGTGGTCATAGCTGTTTGTGAAATCTTTGCCTTCCCTTCACCTTGTGGGAACCCTTCTCATCACATCTTGTGACCTTTTTCGTTGACCTTGTTTGTTCAATTTTATTTTATTAAACAGATATGATCGTATAGTAAATTAATTTACATCAACATGTATTTTTTTTAAGGCAAATTATTTCCAACTACATACAAAACCCTAAGCCTTTACCTGAGATGTGCACTTTATAATTTTATTTTGTACCGCCCTGTTTGGCAATGTCGTTTTTCAATAAAATAAAACATTTGCATAAAGCAAGCCAATCCACTTTTCCATGTTGATTAGAGCATTAAAATAACTAAAAAAATATGGGAAAAAATGAACATTTAGAATATATATAAATTGTGATTAATTTTGAGTTAACTATGACCTAAATTAATCGTGATTAAATATTTTTATCATTTAACAGCACTAGTAAGAATCATCATAATGTTCAATCGACATGAGACTTAACCCATCAAAAATACAACTGGTATTAAGAAATACAGGAAAAACCTAACCTTGTGTCAGGATCCCTTTGATTTGTCACATTTATTGACAATGTTGAAGTTCTACTAGTGTGAGAAAGCGGATGTCAACAGACCTCAAAGGCTTACAGTTGAGAGGTCGCACCTCCACACATGGGAATTAAAGCCCTAAATATAAACCTACTAAGTTTATTCCTCATGTCTGACCGCGTTTTTCTTTTTTCACTGAGCCTGTGAAGATTGTCGATTGTGGCGCACGTGTGTTTTAGTGTTGCCATGCTGTTGTTCAGTTAGAGCTCATCTGGTAAACAGGATTTCTTCTCACTGTTTTGCCCCTACACTGAAGCACAAACGGAGTTCTGGTGCCGTCTGTTTCAGTGCTTGTGTTGGCCGGGTACGTGCCGTCTGAGGCTCTTCAGGCCAGAGTTTCTGTTTTCTTGTAGAAGTGCCAGGCTTTCCGTTCTCGCTTCCCCAGAGGGGAATGACGTTGGTTACTCTTATTTGGTTATTTATCCCATTACGTAAACAACTGTGCTGGGCACTGAGGAGTTTATTTATGTGCATGATGATTGTGTGGACGTGCACAACCCAGAAACCCACCCACATCCGTATATATTGCACTGTGATTCACGATTCACATCTTGCGGCAGTTACTGAGGAGGTGTGGATGATTTGGTTGAGGAGGGATGCGTGGGGATCTACGAGGACACTGAGCACTCATCTTTGTTGCAAACTAAATATCTCTGCAAGCAGGCTTGGGAATGGTCACTTTTATAATACAATAATATAGAAATTCCCTTCTGTTCCTCACAGACACAATCGGCTTTCTCTCGCAGGGTGGATTCTTTTTCATTTGTCTTTATCTGAAATGATGATACGTTTCATTTTGCTACTTTTTTCAAAAGCTGTATGGGTATCTATTATTATTATTCTGGACAGTAAAAATATAATAGCGTCATTTTTATCATTATAAATTATTTCTGCTGGCATTCAACAACTTCAGCTCTCATTAGCCGCTAGGAATGAAGTCTGGATTCAGAAGTACGACAAATTCTTCTGGTGAAACCTCAGCCCCATTTCTTACTACCAAACAATTGCAAATCACAACAGTTGAGTTTCAAAGCTTTTTACGCCACATAGTCAGGAATCCAATGATTGTATATTGTACTATTATTAATACGCCTAAAAGCAGTTGTATTTAAGCTTGATTGTTTGGTCAGTAGAAATATGCAACACAAACACACCCCATGATCCACTTGATGAATTTGTCAGATATTATAATGAATCTTCACTTCTTTTTTAGCTCCTAAGGAAAAAACCCGGCTCTTAATAGCTGCTAAACGCTCCTCTGAGTTCACCGCTGAATAGATAGGATGCAGTGGGTTTATCAATGCTTTCTTTTGCTGCGAACAGCTGCTGCTGGGAACTACTATGGGAGAATTATGTAAGAGTGAACCAAAACAGTTGCGGGTTGTGAACCGAAAACAAAGCAACAATTAAAGTTGCTTAAATGTTCCGTGGAGCTGAGGACGACAGCGTAGCTGGACGATAACTCTGTTGGTCATCACTTTATTGATTTAAACCATAGTTGTTACAAAAATGTTGATTAAAGCACTGTTTAAAATAGGAGTTTTTGACCAAAGCAAGTCAGCTTTAGTTATTTCTCCGTGCACTATATGCATAGCTGTAGAATGTCAACTCTCCCAAAGGTCGGTGAACGCTTCAGATTCCAGAAACAGCATTTAGGACATGATCTTGGTATCCTTGGATATAGCTATGACCTGGCCCGTGACATTGTTTTCACACTGTGCCAATGGCTGATCCACATGTCGTTGCCGAATGTAAATTGCTTTTTTTGTAATGATATTAATGAGTTTAGTTTAGAAAATGGGCAGAAAATCCAATGGAAATCCTTTTACTTGATGCAAGTGAAACTTGCATACGAGTGAGAAGGGGGGGCGGGACTAGGCCTCCGCGTCAAAGTGCCAAGATAGGATTTTGTTTATTATGTGATACTACGTTATTGCTTTCACATTTTATCCAAATGTGTCAACCATCCTCTCGAATCATCATGTTCCAGTAGTTCCCTGTATTCAGCCAGATACTTTTCTTCACACTTGACAAGTTTTCTTAGACTTTGTTTTTGTCCTTTCCCCCTCCTCCCTGATTCTTCCTCCAACATATTGCAGTGTCTTCACCTTTATCCCTCTCCGGGAATCACATATCAACCTACATAGAAACTCACACACACACACACACACACACACACACACACACACACACACACACTCCCTGTGCTTCTCCTCCCATGCGAGTCCATGGCTCAGGTTCAAAGCAAACATCGGCTAAAAGGTTAACTCACTTTGTTCTCGCTGCCTTCGCCTTATTAAGTTATTGGATGAGCTGCTGGCAGATTACGCTTGTCATACATCATTTGGTTTGCTTTATTTCAAAGGTCAGACGATTGTTTGTATCTTTGTGTCAGAACTGAGAAAGACTGGTGTTCGATAAATACATTGTGTGCTTTGTGTTTCTTAGGGTGGCCAAAGCCATGAAACTGGCGCTGTATGAAACTCCCACGGGCTGGAGGTACTTTGGGAACCTGATGGATTCTGGCCGTTGTTCCCTCTGCGGGGAGGAGAGCTTCGGGACAGGTACAACCTCTTCACTCCGAACAACACACTCCACTCACGAAGACGGCGCTCTGTGTCAGCGGAACAGGAATCCGATGGAACACGCGCGTGGTGCTTACGTTTAAGACAGTGTGAGACACAGAGTGGCTGGTTTGAAGTGGATCCGCAGGTTTAGTCGCTTTTCAGATTCCGACACCCGGCACAGTGGTTTGAACAAAGACAGGATTTGTGAGCAGTTATTAAGGGGGGGATGATGTCATCCTTCAGCCGTGTGCCCAGCACGGTGCATCGCCTGGTGCATCGCCTGCTGATGTTGCATTGCGTTGCTGGAAAAGTTGAGCCAGGTAAAACCTGTGTGCGGTACCACTTTGTCACAGCACACATACAGCAGCAACGTGGTCTTGATTAATTGAATGTTTTTTTCTCCTTTAAGCAGTTTATTCTCAACAGCATGGCCAGATTTTATAACCAACTTTATTTTGAGTGGGAACTAAAAAGATGAGATGTCAGTACCTCTTATTGTACGTGAAAACAGGCCAAAGTTGAGCCAGAAAGTGATGCTGTAAGCTGCCATGTTTACAAAGAACCCTTTGTAATATTAATGCTTTCAACGTTTCCTTTTCTTTTAAATTGAAATACGTTTCAGCAGTCACTCAGCAGTCTGCTGCAGGCCTAGTGTTGTAAAGTGTTGCATCCTCGCTGCCTGTAGCTCCAGAAAGCCTTGTGTAATAGATGTGAGGGCTGTGACCCTGACTGCATGTGTAAATATTCCCCATTCTTCTGCTATAAAAGGAGACAGGCTCCCTGAATGACTGCAACATGCGGACAAGCTTCCAGTGGCAACTTCTGTGAATGTCGACGCACACATATAGACAACTATAGACAGCGTGCATGCACAAATAATACACGCAACTTCGCTCTTGTCCTCTCCACGCTTCTTCATCTCTCTTCATCTTTTTTTACAGCCGTTTTGATTTCAGCGGTACAATTTCCTATGGTTTTTCCTCTTCTCTTTGACATTCATTCTTCATCCATCCTTGTGATTTAAAATGATATCTAAATCTAGAAAAAGAGGGAAGGGAAGAAGAAGAAATGTTAGCAGGTGTGAACATCATTAAAGAAAAGCTAGGAACAGGTGGGTGAGAGGGTTGAGAGAGAGTCCAAATATGAGAAGTATTGACGAGAAGGAAAAGAGGTGGAAGGAGCAGAGAGCTCGGAGGACTAAGGGAGCTGTCTGCTTGTCGACCCATGTAAGGCCAAAAGCTCAGCGAGAGTCCTGAGTGCTAAATCATCAGCGCTGCACACCACCCCTGCTCTTTACCGACTCTCATACACTTATTCAGGAAAACACTCAACTATTTTTTATAAGTAAACATGTTGAGGTTGTTTGATTGTTGCCATCTTTAGACTTTTTAGTTCACACGACATACAGTATAATGTCTATAGCTGTGACTTTAGGGCTCCCTGGTGTAATAACCCATATTGTAACTTTAGCGTAACAAGGTAAACAGTGCAGACAATATTTACCGGTGTTGTAGGAAACTTATGATAAGGTATGATAATTAAATAAGTAAATTCTACTCTGTCTCGCTCTGTGTCGGGGAGCAGACAGGCAGTGGGATGGGGATTAAATAATGACAACTGTCATTTCCCCGTTTCCTAACAGCTGCATGCAGTCAGAGCCAGGCCCGGGGCAAGGAGGGACACTTCTTGGTGTGTCGGGGTTTGGTGGAGAAAACAAAAGCGGAGAATTGTTTTGTGTTATAAAATAAGCATAATGATACCTTCGCGCTCTTCTCGGGAAATAAGCATGTAACTTAAAATGACACCCAAATGCAGAGTTTTTTTCTGCTCCAAGCTCTGCCGGGGAAACATTACAAACATAATCAATCTTATTAAAATGTCGACGTGCCCCCTTAACAGATACTTTTACTGTGCAGCTGTTTTTGAGAACAGAGGAATCCCTCCCAAGTGAAGGAGGCCGATCGAGGGTGTGAACTGCTCCTCTGTTTTTGTGTGTGTGTGTGTGTGTGTGTGTGTGTCTTTTAGGGCGTGTCTTCTAAACCGTGACATTTTGTTACATGGGGTTGAGATGAACACTACGCCAAATTCAACTACCATTTTACGTGGGGTTGTTGTAGACTGTTGGATTACTACACTATTGTCTCAAATTATCTGTAAAAGAGGGTCTTAGTAATTGGTTAAATATCCAAAGAACCGTTTTGGATATCACGCCGGTATCTTGTTTTTAGCTATATGTAAGTATTGGCTGGAGCCAGGATGTGGCCACTTTAGCTTAGCATTCAGACGGGTTTTGCCAGCCTGGTTTTGTACAAAAGAGCAAAAACATGCAATAGCCCATCAGCCTCTAGAGAACACTAACTACTGTAATTCCTCTTTGTGCTAAGCTACAGTCACCAGCGGCCTACCATGTTCTCATAATTACTGAAATGCCATCTTATTAAGATACTCTGTTCTGGAAGTCTGTACACTATTAACTTACATATTATAATTATTATTATATGTGAAAAGGTATTTAGCTACACCGAAACACAGACGTACACCAGAGGATGAAGCTGATACAGCAGTAATGGGGATCTACTCAGCAAGATACACTTAGCCAGCCATGTTTTCATTCCTGGATCAATATATTCCTCCTGGAAAAATATATTTTTCATTCACAGAGAACAGCTGCGGAGAATTGACAGTTGAATTTGGTTATAGCTTTTTGTATGAGGATGTTTATTAAGAGAGTGTTTTCTTTCTTTTCTAGGTTCAGACCACATTCGTGAGAAAGATGGACTGTGGTCGGTGCTGGTGTGGTTGTCCATCATGGCCTCTGGGAAAAAGGCTGTGGAGCAGATTGTCAGAGAACACTGGGCCATGTTCGGACGTAACTACTTCTGCAGGTAATAAATAAGCTCTCTGAATATGCAGCTCACATGAAGCATTTGGTCCGTGACTTTTTATTTGTATTCCCTATCTTTCGTCTCTTCATTGGTCCACCTACATTATTACTTTCCATGTTGGAATCATTATTGAAATAATCTCAATGGACAAGCCCTGAGATTGACTTTGCTTTTCCCTAAAGTCGCAATCCTTTGTATCCCCACCGAAGGCAAATCTGTCTCCAAGGCCTTCACCTTCGTCCATTTCTCTTGCAGTCCTCCTCCCTGGTTGTCGGTTGTTCTTATTTTAACTTCTCCCCTGTGACAGGCAGAGATAGTTCCTGTAGTCACTGTTCCCACTGACATTTGCTGCAGCTTTTCTTGTTCCCACAGAGAGTGTACCGAATTTCATGTTGATTTCCCACAACGTGAAGTTGGAGAGGCCACGCAGATCCCCAAAAAGGCTTAAAAACACAAACATCTGTCATCATTTTGATAAAAAATCACCCTGGTAGCTCTTCTCTCTTGCAGTGCCGGGCCATTTTAAGTAAAAGCAATGCAGTCAAATTATTTTCCTGAAAGGTTTTTCTTTCCTGCGTCAGTCTTACTCAGCATCCATGTGAATCTTTTTGTTGGTTCTTGGCAGGTTTGATTACGAAGGCCTGGACCCTCGCGCAGCCTTTTACCTGATGAGGGATCTGGAGTCAGTAATCTCAGACAAAGCATTCACCAGCCAGAAGTTTGCTGTGGGAGACCACGTATACAGCGTGGAGAGGGCCGACAACTTTGAGTACATCGACCCTGTCGATGGAACAGTGGCTCGAAACCAGGTCAGTCTGGGTTGAAAGAGGGAAGATAGAACATGGGAAGTTGGAAAAGTTTAATACAAACACTACAGATATATTAAACAGTAATATGACAACTACTGTTAACTTCTCTGATAATTTAGCTATATTAGTAAAACTTAAATCTAGACCGACTCATTTCTTATTTTCTTTGTGTAGTAAATTAAAAAATGTATATATATATATATAAGATAAAAAAATATTGTTTCATATATTATGAAATATTTTGCATAGTATATATATTCGCTATATTCAAGGAATTCGTTTAATTTGTATCTGGCTTAAGATGCAGTTTGTTAGTTGTTTTTTTTACTGACAGAAGATCTGTAGCACCTTAACATGCACACACACTCACTTCTTGTGTGCTCCCTTACAAACCCATGCACTCAATTGTCCGCTTCTTGTGAGTTAGACCACCTACTAAGCTTTAATGCTGTCTCATGACAAAGGTTTGGACATGATAGTTACATAATTAATTTGAAACTACACTCGGGCTGCATGTTTCCACACGCATACATGTACATACATAGTTTTTCATGGTAGTGTCTGGAATTCGTTGGTCGACTTACCTCGATGTACCTTAACAGCAGTAAAGGCCACACTGTACTTTATATATTTCTCTGTGTAACTATGGTTACAGCAGCACCACAGCAAGTTAGTCTGTTGCCACAAAATGTGATTTAACCTCAGTGGCAAATCCTCAGCATCCCAGTCACCCCTGTGTGTGTTATTACCGTACAGCAAACATTCCTGCCAGGACAGAATTATATCAGCTGTCGTCTCACTTGCAGTCGCTCCACTGCAAGTGGGTTTAAAGGGGGGACGAGTTGGCACGTAAACACACACACACGCACACACACACAAACACATGCAAACGACAAAGCGCGGGGGATTTACACAGCAGTGGCATGGCGGCCTTTTAGAGTTGACTGCTGCACTAATTCTGCATTTCCTGCATAACGGCACATGGATAGTGGTTGAATAGAAATCGTAGCCAAAGAACCTACGTAATACCCAAATGAAGATACTGTACTATTGGAAAATAAAGTAGGCCTACATTACATTACAGGTCATTTAGCAGACGCTTTTATCCAAAGCGACTTACATTACACTTTAAACCCATGGCTATTTCACATTTTTGCCCAGGGAGCAATTAGGGGTTAGGTGTCTTGCTCAGGGACACTTCGACATGGAACATGGGACAGCCTGGAATCGAACCAACAACCTTGTGCTTCCCGGCACACCTTCTCTAACCCCTGCGCCACGACGACCCCTACATACTAATAATGGTCAGAAAAAGTCAGAAATATTTAATGTACAGTTATGGAATATAAACATACAGTATCTGTTAGTAGTTTGATGTTCATTTTGAAATAAATATAAAACAAATAAATATGTAAATTAAAAGTTAGCCATTAGCTAAAAAAATCTTGTAAATTACAATAAAGACAAAGGCTGATATGGCAATTATCTAAGATCTCTATCTTAAGACCTTTTTGTAAATAACTGGGGCTTCATTTAAAACTAAATACTAAATCGCCAAAATTGAAGTTGGATTAAAAGATGAAGGTATTTTCCATGAGCAGATAACCTCTTAGAGAAAGCTTGCTATATAGAGTGTGTGTGGGAATTTGTGTATAATGTTTGGAGGTTTGTCTCTTACCCCAATTTTGTATGTAGAATGTTAAAATGTCTACGCCATAATAATATTGCTAAAATGTCAAACATGGGTCATCGATCACTTTGGCTTGAAACGTGCTACATTTTGCCACGGCATAAGTCGATGGACGGAGACGGACGTACTGGCTGGTATGCGCTCCACTCAGGGCCTTTGAACTTTGAAGCAGACGTTGTTTTTAACCGGCATCAGTCGGCCTCCTGATAACTGCTCCTCTATTGTTAGAGATGAGCTGACACACTCAAACATAGATAGACAGACAGGCGGCAGGACGGACATCTCGCATCCTCACTGTCTCTCCTCACCTGGACTCTGGCAAGGTACGCTCTTGAGATAAAGTCTATACGGCGTGCCTCAGTAGAACCAACGGGACATTTTACATATTCATGCTCCTTGCTTTGTTATGGGACGAGGGAAGAGCGCCTGTGGAATGCAGGGCAGATAGAAGTCGTCACACGTGCATTAGTCAAAGAGTCTTATCTTGCTTACGTCAGGTAGCAGGAATTGTGGTTGGCTGGCCTGATGCAAGGACATCCTGTTTGTCTTGAAAACGTAGATAGAGTTAAAAGAGGAAACGGTACACTTCTAAATTATAAGGACAATGTTTTCTCTGAGTTCGATATAAACTCTGAGAAGTGATTTGCTGTTTGAACTACATGAGCTACCAAACCAAATCTACGAACTACGAATCGTTCATAAAGTGTCTTGGGATTTTACTGAACACGAGTAGTTTTCTATCACCGTCTAACATAAAAGAGCTCACTAAAGGGGGGGACAAGTTTGAACACTGCCCCAACAAACCACATAACGACATCTAGGGGATGTTTGTAGTTACTGCACATCAGATCATTATTGTCTTACATTGACAGTGTTGCCAATGGTCGTATGGTTTGTAAGCTGGTGTTGTAACATGTAGTTCTTCATTCACTTCAGTGAGAAGCGCTAATAGAATTCTTTTAGACAATTGTCATTTTGAGAATCTATCAAGCAGATGTATCACGCGCTGAATCCCCAAAACAAACCAAACAATGGATAATGTGAACATTGTGTTTTTGTATTTCTAGGGTTTAAGGATCGTCTTCACTGATGCGTCCCGCCTAGTGTTTCGGATGAGCGGGAGCGGCGGCGGGACGGGCGCCACCATCCGCATTTACGCCGAGAGCTTCGAGAGAGACCCGGAGAGACACAGCAGAGAGACACAGGTAGAGGGAGAGCGACACTCTGAGACAGAGGTTCGGTTCTGTTTGTGCACATAAAGGCTTCTAAAATGAGTCTTTTGTTACGCAGTATTCGGCCATTCTAGTCCCCATAAAATGGATAATATAAAATGTTTAATGATATGGGACGGTAGCAGAAGTAGCTTGTCTGTTTTATTCGGTAATATACATAATAGATTCACAACTGGCACACCGTTCTTTGAGTGATGGGATGCATTTCAGACTCCGATTACTAAATATTTAAATGAAAACTGCCGCAAACAACCAATCATCTCTCCTCGTTTTATTCAGCCGGTATCACTTTTGCCTGCAAATGCCTTTTTCCTTCCCTCTTACTCTTTCCACCATGACCTCCTTAGTCCCAGCCGCTTGAGATGAAGTGTAACTTTGACCATTGGTTCGTATTGGATTGAACAACAAGACACGATTGCAATGATGGGTGCAGATACTGCCGTGGTAATACAGCCTAAGCTGTGAAATGCCAGCTAGTTGACCTGTAGACTTTGGAGTGATAAGAAACAATAGCTTCTGATGTGGCTACGGGTGTTGGAATAGGTAGTGCACTTTAACCATACCCAGGGGTTGTAAAGCTGCAGCCGTGACAGCGAGTCGGGCTCATTTAGGTTTGGCCACCTACCATCCCGCTTCACCAAACGATGCGTGCTCAGGTCAACGACCGCCCTTCATGCTATCGGCAGGTCAAAACGCGACCAATGGCGTCTCCAGCCCGGGTAGACATATGCATTTGAGCGTTACCTTGATTCAAACATAATTCAGGTGTGAGATATTGAAAATATATTCTGATCTTAGGAAAAGTAGATCTATTAATTAAGTATGGGCGACCTATTGATGAGTAATACACAAACGTTGAGGTAAAACTGATTTGTTTAACTTTGTCATTAAATCTCCCTTGTTGCCATTATGTGACTTACACTTAACCCTTGGACAACTTATCTTTAATGTTCTACCATAAATGAAGTTCCTAATCGTTCTGCCCCGTACCCGACGCACATTTTATAATCAGACACGACACACATGATTAGACAACATGCTCACTGGGCTGAAAGCCCTTTAAATACTTTGATACACAGACATAGTTCCTGTATGCTTCCTGCATGCTACTGTATATGCAATGCCAAATGGTGTATGTGAGTGTGTGGGTTGTTTTCCAACACACAACCCCTGTGATATGAAGGGTTCAAAGCCACATCACATAATTATTGAGCAATATTAACATGGTGTGCAGTGCACCTCGTTATTTTAAGATATGTTTTACATTTGTCAAATACCTAGCTCAGCTTATACACATGAGAAGACTCATGTCCTCACAGCTCATATCTGTGTTACACCGCAATCCCCCAAAAGGTTTGAATGAATTATCTCTTGCAAATAACAGTAACTTGTTGACAAACGAGGTTAATGCCTCTTGAAATGCTGGTTGAATCAGGGGCAAAGTCAAACTAAGTTATCCATCCTGGAAGCTGTTGAGCTATTGGTTTACCAACACGGTGTTTTTTAGGCCCCAAACCCACATGACGTCTGCCATGCATGTGCTGTGTTGCGCAACAAAGCGCAGGTCTGCATGAAGGTGTACTAACACCGTTAACACCGTGATTTAGTGTAAGATCGCAGCTCTGATAGTCTCATATTCATGCTGTGAAAAAGAGGAAGCTGCTAAGCGATTCTAATGTGTTCTTCGCTGCAGGTGGTGCTGGGTCCTCTCATCGCCATTGCCCTGAAGATCTCTAACGTCCACGAGAGGACGGGGCGCCGCGGCCCCAACGTCATCACATGAGCCTCCAGGAAAACACACACACACACACACTCACTCTCACATGCACGCACACACATGCATCTAGCTGCGCACACACGCAAGTAAATAACTTTTCCCGGACTTAAATCCATTCTCTGTAGCTTAATGGTGATTTTGTTTATTTTTCCTTCTCCCAATGACGACTAAGCAGAAGGAAGCACAGGATTCTCCTTTTTGTTTATTGACCACTATCATCAGTCAGCTATCAAAAACATAGGGTTAGTGTCCAAACCATGCGGGACATTTCCTTTTTGCCAGGAATAAACAATGGAAAAGACAGCAAACATATTGGATGTGTAGACAGAGTGTTAATGTTTGTGGATTGCAGTTATAAAGATTTATTGACTAAGGAGGCCTGAGATATCTTTTTTTATTTACAGTGCAGTGTTTGCTTGACATATTACTTGTACGTGTCCACTCATTTATGTCAATTTTCGAAAATTTAATGCTGAAGTGAGTAAAACCTTTTAAGAAGAAAAACAGGCGCAACATCACAACTATTCTGTCAGACTTGTGTTTTCTAGATAGGGAGAGATTTAAAAGAAGTAAAGCAATAGCAAACATATTTTAGGTAGCTTTGCTAATCTGGTTTTTGCTTTCATCTGTCAGTTTAGGAATGACATATAACCATATTTCAATATATCATTTTCTTTTCTACCCAAATAAACTTTTTTTGTGTGCGATATTTGCCTTTTTTTAATCGAAACCGACAGGAATAAAGGGGACAGATAAAAACACATATATGTTGAGATATGTTGCCCGCAGGCATTCCAGGATTTTAATCAAACATATCCTTCACAATGTTGTGCGAATGCCACGTATCACGGGTCGCTTGAACATCCTCATGGAACAGGAGCCTTTTGTTTGTCGAGCGCAGCACCTGCTTTGGATTGTAGTGTGAAATGCGCTGAAGCTGTTGTGTGGAGATAAGAAATGAAGAGGGTTGATCTTTATAGGCTCTGAGTGGAACTAATAAACACACTTATTGCCGTCATCGTGAATTGAGGATGTGCCAGTGGATATCCTCAAGGATGTGTTCACTCAGTCAGCCAGACATTACCTGTCAGCCTTTACAGGTTATTGCCCCAGCCGCCTGTTTTATAATGTCAGGCCGGTTTGCGAGGTTGGATGAGGGTCAATGCCAGTTTGTCAATGTGTCGCTAAGACAAGCGTCTAATCGTATACTAATACGTCTTTTGAAGGACTGGTTAATTCAAATGCTGCCAATAACCAGGTTTTTCATTTGCGCATGAATGTAAGCAATCCGCACAGTTGAGTTGTTGCTCCACCATTATCTTTATTGCGGTGAACTTTTCAACTGCGTTGTCAGGTATGCTTGAGAGAAAACCCATAATCTCTTCAAACAGTCGGTCAGGACGTCATGGTGTGTTCTTTCTGTGTGTCCCAGTAAACATGCACAATTTCAAACGAGTCTCTGGGTAGACGTCCATTATACATATAGATAAAGTATGCAATCATTAGCTCAGATCACAGGACATCTGTTGTCTGTCCTCGATGTGCAGACCGAGATTGGACACAAAGCCGTCGTGTTTCTGCACCAAGAAAAGTCTGTACGAGGAATTTAATTTGCTGGTTCTATTTCAGTAGTATTTTATGTTTAAGTCTGTTGTCTGATTTTGGATCACTTAAATGATTGTGTCTCCATTACTGCAGATACAATCATTTAAGTGATCCCAAACAATTTCATGCTCAGCAGGACTTTCCTGCAAAAGAAAATGTTGTACCACAACAAATAAATGTGATTGTGGTTCTTAGCTGTTGCCCATTTAATCCCAACATCCCAAGGTTTAAATCTAAATATTTTCTCTAAATAAAAAGTGTGTGAGTGTTGGTTTGGCCTACTTTGAAAATAGATAAAGCTGCCGGTTAAGAAGAATTCCATTTAAAACATGTAATTTATAGCAATCATTATCAAACGTTTGCATTTATGTTTTAGTGGGAAAGAAACATATTGAACACAAACTCAACAACTTCCTATTTTTATTTACATAATACAAATAACCCCAGAATAGAGGTAGCTCCCTTAACTCCAATGCAAGCAGCTGTATTACACTTGCAATAGTTTAATAGTGTACAAATTGTTGCTACAGTGCAGATAAAGGTAATTTCTGACCGTCAATGGATCCAGCTGGATTAATACTTTCCTCGGTTATTTACTAAGCAGCAATTTCAGGCTCGAGGCCTGAGACAAAAAAGCATTCGACCAACATCAGCACAACACCACAAGAATTCACCTCTTTCAAGAGCCCTTAATGTACTGCAGGGTCCGCCCGAAGAGTTTAGGGTGAAGACTGATGTCAGCACATCTGGTCCATCTTTCGTACCATATTCAAAAGGCACCTCCCGTTCTTCTGGAGCGTCCTGTCCAGCACATTCCCATCAACCATCGCCAGTCAGCTTTCCCTTCAAGCCACTTCGGCAAAACGTTTCCTCCCTCCGGCGTCGTGACAACTCCCCCGTCTGCGCCTCACGCATCCACGTTTCCCTGCTGAACGCGCTCCACCTGACAGTAGCGAGGAGGCTGCTCCCAGCTCCACGTGCAGTCCGGGGCCTCCGAGGCGTCTTGGCTGTAGAGAGGAGGAGCGAGGCCCAGCGCCACATGCGCCCCGTCCACCACCACCGCCACCTCAAACTCGGGCGCCGCATCGGGACTCGGCTGGCTGGCCTGGGACTCCTCGTACGACGGAGGGAAGGAGCTTCTGCAGAGGTAGATACATACAGATCAGCAGTTTGACAAATTATATTTGTATTGACTTGAATCCCAAAACATTTTGTGGTGCACAAAGTTTCCATTCTTCTAGAGAGGAAGAGTTACTGATATTTTATCATTAACTTTTGCAACAGTAATGCAATCACATAGAAGGGAAAGAAAATGCTTTTATGTTTAAATGATGTGATTAACTTTAACATTATTTATGTTTTCACTCAAATTCTTGTTTTTAAAATAAAAGTTACCACTGTTATACTTTTTGTAAGTAGGGTTTGATACGAAATCGATAGGCAGTTTTCTTTCTCTCTTCTTATAATGTCTCCGGTGGTCTTACCTGTCAACAGTGTAGATCTGCAGGTGCTGCTCGCGTCCTCCGCTCTGGTACATCTTGCTCTTCATGCTGTGGCAAATGTTCCAGAAGACTCCGGTGAGCACAAGCAGGATGCCGAACACCACCGTGCCATAGGCAGAGACGACCCTCAAAGTGTACCTGTGGTCCGTCTGAAGGGACACAACGTAGGCCCCGATGCAGGTGATCGCAAATCCCGCCCCGGGCACCACCATGCGCGCCAGAGACCACAGCTGCTTCCTCACATTCATGATCAAATAACTCACGTGTTGTTTCTTTACTGGAGTTTTCAAATGTCCGTAATTCTTTTTTTTTTCCCAGTAGAATGATAGAGAGGCGATTTTTTAATTTTTGACCTGCTTTAACATAAATAAATCCTCCAGCCAGGTTTGAGTACCAGCGAGTGTTGCTGCAGTTGAAGGTGTGTGTGTGTGTGTGTGTGTGTGTGTCTTCAGACGTTGGGGGAGGTGGCTGGGTTGTTCCTGCCTCCTCGGTTTTATATTCACTCTGGCTGATAGTTTTTTGGCAACGCGATGGTCATACATTTCGGAAGGCAGTCAGTATGTTTTAAACCTGTGATATTTCGTTGTTAACTGTGATAACCGATAAGCAGATCATTTAGTCTAATTGCCTTTCATCTGTTTTAATGACAGGTGATAGTGTGTTGACATCATGCAAGGCTGATCAAACACCCGGTGGAGTTAGCAGGCGGCCACATTATCCCTTGCACCGTGCACTATGACCCCCGGTGTGGTTTTTAAGTGTAACCACTCTCCACCGAGTTGCATGCTCGGTATCAAGCCTGCGTATACGGTTTTATGCAAACAAGCAAAACAGAAAGGACCTAGTTATGTTTTACTCTAACATAACATAATTGTTAGATTATGTCATGCACTAGATGGTGCAATGTAACATGCATAGTGCAATATGACATGCAATGTCACAACTAGACGTAGAACTCACAGACACTTTAGAACTCACAGATTGTTTTACTGATTATCAAACCAATGGAAATACTATGCGTGTTCAAACTATACAAAAAGAACAAAAATACCGTTCCAATAGATTTCAAGCAAGTTAAGTTAATGGTAATTTATGTTCAAATTTACTTTGTCACCACATCCAGCTACCAGCTGGCAGTGAGCGTGCAGGTCGACAGCGTTTGTGCTGATAAAATGTTGCACTATTGCACAACGTTTTGCTTTGACACAGCACAGTAGAGAAGTCGTAAGGTCACTTTCCCATAAACTTGTTTCACTGAACGTGGAAAGTGGTTCACATGTTTGCAGCACGATAATGCAGAGCCATGTTGAATCAGCACTAACATTATCATTAATTTAGTTATAGATGTATATCATCTTTCTTTTATTATGCATTTATTGTATAATATGTTTTCCGGTAATTCAATTGTCACTCATCTTTTTGTATTTCTGATAGATTATGTAACTAATTCAATAAAACATGTACTTTGGTCTCAATACTCGTAACCTGTGGAGCCCCGTCAGGGTCATACAAGCCAAAACAGAATCACAAAGTCATAGATATTTCATATACATATTTAAAGAATAATTCTTCCCGTTAGCTTATTTTCTCATCGCACAGCTCCTGTCTTTCTTTGTTGTGTATCTGCAGCGCTGCTTCCACTGCAGCTCGTTTTAAGGAGCGCTTTTATCCAGATTCAGCCCCCGTGTCTCTATGTGAGAGAAGCCCGAGGTCCTCTAGGTGGATTTATAATAATCTAGATTGCCTTTTTCTTTATTATCTTTATTATTATTATCAGTTATTTATTTTGACATGTTTGGGTGTATTCTTTGACCCAGGCAGCCTCATCGGTACGTCTGCATCAACGTACAGCGCTCAGTGGGCCAGCGTGACTTTTGCCAAACAGAAAACTAGCTGGCAGATCTTGGAACTTTGTCCGTAAATAGTGAACAGCATTTGATAAGTGAACGGCTTCTGTGTTTTTTTTACATCTGCAGTAGTGTGTATATTTGTCTATTGTGTTGTTTTTACTATATAGTTAATATTATTAGCTCTGATGTAAACAATATTTGAATGGCCCGCGCTGTTAGCTGTGAGGTGGGACAAATAAAAACCTGTAGCTGTGGCGTCATAATGACGTTATTAGGTTATTCAACTGTAGTAAGACGGCACAGGAGGCCCAGGAAGAAGATACCCTGCTTCGAACTTATAAAGCTGTAACGTATAAACTTCTTTGTGGCATAAAAAATGGATAATAAAGCTGTAAATGAGTCAAACCTGGAAAAAGCTCAGGTGCTGAACACACACATTTGTTTCTGTTGAAGTCACATGTTTTTTTACCTTTTTTACATCTTCCACCTCAACGTTTTTTTATGGTGCAGATATCTTTGTGATGGACACTTGTGACTTAATTGTAAATTATATTTATTATTATTATTATTAGATTGTTTTCTGCTACGTGGCAAGAGTGAGTTTATTCCTCCCTTTTGTTTACCATCAACCTACAGTCTGACTTTGCACCTTCCTCTTTGTGTACACGTCATAACTCATTTAAGAAGGCCTCATTATGACTAGGCTATTCTTGGATGGTATTGTGAATGAACATCTATCCACTCCCACTCAA